CCCCACGCGGTGCGGAGGCCGCTTTGCCAACGCCGCGGGGACCTTCAAGGATGTGCTGCTGCTGTGCTGAGCGCTGCAGGAAACCAGTCGGTGGGTGGCCGCTGGCGTGCGTGGACTTACACCTGTTTCCTTGTCGAGTCTGTGTCTTGCAGTGCTGAGCGAAAGGACCAGCCCAGCAGCCCCGAAGCGACTCTGTGCGTGGGAAACCCCGCCTAACCGTGGTGGAACTCCGAGCGACCTACTTACTTAAAACAAAAACCACCCCACCCACACACCTGTGGGGAGGAAACACACTTCCTTGTGAAACATAGAGTTTGTACCACATTTTATGGGAGTTGCAGGTTTTAGGCCTTCTTATGAACGCCGTGCGTGCAAGTGCTTCCACGGACTGGGGCTTGAACTCAGGTCTTAGGCCTGTCCCTTAAGCATGTTTGCTTCTTGGGCTGGTTGGAACCTCTATCCTGTTCTTAACCTCCCGAGTAGCTGCTAGTATTAACAAACACAAGCTACCAGCACACACCTTCCTTCCTTTTCCACTTGGGAGTTTTTCCTGTACCAAATTCAAGTAAAATGCTTGATTGTTTTCCTTTCTTTTTCAGAAAAAGTACATCAGACTTACTGTGTGGGTTTTATTGTTACTAATTTTTCAAGATTGAAGTGTAGAGTTCATGATACCATATACATTACATCAGTGTGGGAAAGGCAATAACTCTGTTATGCTTGGGCTTTATTTGTAACTGTTATTTTAACTTTAATTACCCTTAATGCTATTGATATTGTCATTGCCATTCCTTTTTTTTTTTTTTTTTGCCTGTGATCTCTGTGCTGTTCCCTGAACTGGGCCACCATCTCCCTACTATGCTCTACCTTAAAACATTGCTTATCACCTGGCATTGCTTCCTATTTTTCCTAGGCTCCTGTCTGGCTATTTAAACATATTGCCTGAGGTGAAGGTAGGCCTACCTGTGCCCTCTCCACTATTTTCCAGCCTGGTAGATTCCCTCCCTAACAGTTGAGAAAGATGTGTGTGCAATCAGCAATAACTCCTCATCTGTCCCATGAGCCATTTTTTGCATCTTTACCAGTCTTCCATCCTTCAATTGTGTGTGTGCGTATGTGTGTATTGGGACATGTGTTTTGACAACTGCACAACAAGAATTGGCCAGATAATAAATTTTGTTCTTTCAGCAAAGGCTATTTCAGGACATTGGGATTCAAGATTAAATTCTGTACATTTTACTCCTCTTGTCCCCTTCCCCAGATCTACTTTTCATGCCCTTGATTTTCAACTTATGGAAAAATTGTACTTGGCCATTTTCATTTTGAATTGTTTACCAATATTTCTTGGATATAGCCTTCTTTTCTATGCGTCAAACATTACTACAGTGAGCCTCTGTTATCTAGGGCCCATTTGCTGCTACCGTGCTAGGACTAGTATAGAGAACATATTTATAAATAAACATTGAATTTTGGTATGTAAAGGTTGAGAACAATTAGAAATCGGGCTGTGTGACTGAGGGCTGGTAGCTCATGCCTATAATCCTAGCTACTCAGAAGGCTGAGATCTGAGGACTGAAGTTCACAAATAGATGAAGCAGAAGTCAATGAGACATCTCTAACCATCAAAAAGCCAGAAGTGGAGCTGTTGCTTAAACTGGTAGAATTCCAGCCTTGAGTGAAAAGCTAAGGGACCCCCCCCCAACTGCTCCTCCTCAATAAGAAAGAAAGAAAGAAATCAGGCTGTAGAAAAGTAAAGAAAAAAAAATAGAGGGCTGGGAAGGTGGCTCAGTGGTAGAGCGCTTGTCTTGCATGCCTGAGGCCCTGGATTCGATTCCTCAGCACCACATAAGCAAAAAGAAAAAAGCCCGAAGTGGCGCTGTGGCTCAAGTGGTAGAGCATTAGCCTTGAGCTGAAGAGCTGAGGGACAGCGCCCAGGCCCAGAGTTCAGGCTCACTACCAGACCCCCCCCAAAAAAGAAAAAAATAGAATGTAGTCCATTCTTTGTAGTCTTCTGCAGGTTGTTCAGCTACATCTGAGCAGAACCATGGGAGCAAGTCAGGAGGACTTCGAAAATGCAATGAATCAGGTGAAGCTCTTGAAGAAGGATCCAGGAAATGAAGTGAAGCTAAAACTCTATGCCCTGTATAAGCAGGTAATTGCCTATGATCTGAAATCTTTAGAGACATTTTGAACTGATGATTTCTCAAATAGACACATTGTGTGGCCACTAAAATTGAGCTTTAATATTTAAGTTTTGGTTTTCCTCTGAAGTGTGTGTACATGTGAGCTCTGTTTTCTTTTGTTTGTTGTACTTTGTTATGTCTTGAAATACTATTATGGCACAAAACAACTACTTAAGTGTGTCGAGGTGGGTTTTTGTTTTTGAGATGAATACCTGAGCATGTAGGAGTGAAATAGTATGATATTGACATGTTTGACATTCATTAAAATAAACACATGAATGCTGCATTCTGGTGACTCACAAATACAATACTAGCTACTCAGGAGGCTGAGAATATAAGGAATGTGACTCAGAGCCAACCTGGACAAAATAGTCTATGAGATGTTTATCTTCATTCAGTTAACCAGCAAAAAGTCACAAATGGAGGTGCCCAAGTGGTAGAGCACCAACCTTGAGTGAAAAAGCTAAGAAAGAGTTAGAGGCCTTGAGTTCAAGCCCAGTACCCAGATGGAAGGGAGGGAGGGAGGGAGGGAGGAAGAAAGAAGGAAGGAAGAAAGGGAGGGAGGGAGGGAGGGAGGGAGGGAGGGAGGGAAGGACACAGAAAACAGGAAATAAAGAGCACAAAATGAAGGAAGGAAGGAAGAAGGAAGGAAGGAAGTTCAAAACGGCCAAATTTGATCATTTCATGAGTGATTGAGAACTTATATTGTAAGAAAAAGTAATCTGTCAAATGGTAATGTCTCTATCTTGTAACCAATCACCATTCTGAACCGCTAGTTCCTGAAATTACTTGCTTCTTGATTTTATTTGTAACTATCATCTGTGTTGCTTGTAACTAGCCAGTTATGTTAAAGCTATGAGTCTTTACCAATGGAGTTAAAAAATAAACTCCCCACTTTGAATCATATTCATGAATGAAACAGCTTACAGTGGATTCTGTGAGAGTTTCTAGCAAGTTATTGAAGCTGAGGGTAGTGTTGAGTGCTGCCCTTTCCTCTACTTACAATTGGTCTCAGAAGTGAAAATAGTCAGAAGATAAGGCAAACTCTGTCCTATGGAGACAGCTAAGTCTTGCACCTTGACTTTCAGTTTCAAGGCATATTTAAGTCAAGGCCATTTTTACTACCTTTGTTTTTCAAAGCCTCTTTCCTCTTTTAGCTAACTGTATTACAAAGTTATAGAAGTTTTAGAAAGCGTTTTAAATTGACATCTCTAAAATATAACTGAATAGGACATTTTAGTCAGCTCAGGACACCCATTGCACCCAAGCTCAAACAAATAAAATTTAGTTGCTTTTCATTTTCAATTGGGATACTTTTCAGTCAAGTTTCCTGAGGGCCTGTGGTTCTAACAGCTCACACCTTATCTCTACTAGTAACTAGCTACAGTGGTGTGTTCACTGAATTGGTGATATATATATATATATATATATATATATATCTGTCCACAGGCTTTCAGAGTATGTGAAGATTGTCTAGGAATGTAGCTCAGTGGTAGAGCACTTGTCTATTGTTTGAAGCCCTAGATTCAATCCCAGTACAATTTGGGAGCAGGATATTGTAGAGTCCTGTGAGTTTTCAAATGTTAACTAATTTCTTTAGAAAATTAGTGGCTATTTTGATCATTTGTGAAAAATGAGGTTATCAACAAAATTAATTACCAGATATTTTTGTGGTTGGTGTGAATGTACATGATGGTACTGGGGCTTAAACTAAACATCTTGCACTCTCTTTTTCACTCGAGGCTGATACTCTTATCACTTGGGCCACAGCTCTACTTATTGCCTTTTGCTGGTTAATTGGAGATAAGAGACTCACAGATGTGTCTGCCTAGCCTGGTTTTGAACCACAATTCTCAGATCTCAGCATTCTGAATAGCTCAGATTACAGGTGTGAGCTACAGACACTGGCTGATCTATTAGACTTTTTTAGAAAGTAATTTCTCAAAGTTTTTTTATTGCATTATTTCCATTTATAAGCAGTAAGAATGGGTAGCTAATAGCACCTTTTGCCTCTCTACTCTTTTTCTCTTATTTGGGTGTTCTCACCAATACTATGAAGTATAGGTAAGGAAAAACTCAAGATCATTTTGCATACTCTATGAAAAGATTTGAGAGAGGTATTCTTGCTAGCATTGAACTTTATGAGTGTTAAATATGTAAGGTTTCAGTTTGCATAAACATTTGGCCACTAATCACATTTACCCTTTTTGCAGGCTACTGAAGGACCTTGTAGTATACCCAAACCTGGTGTATTTGATTTTGTTAACAAGGCCAAATGGGATGCTTGGAATGCCCTCGGCAGCCTGCCCAAGGTAAATTAACGTCTTCTGGGATTTTTTTTTTGGGGGGGGTCCGGTTGTGGGGCCTGAACTCTAGGCCTGGGCGCTATCCCTCAGCTCTTCAACTCAAGGCTAGTGCTCTACCAGTTGAGCCACAGCACCACTTCCGGCTTTTTTCTTTTTGCTTATGTGGTGCTAAGGAATCGAACCCAGGGCCTCAGGCATGCAAGGCAAGCGCTCTACCACTGAGCCAACTTCCCAGCGTAAATTAACTTCTTTACTCTGCATTTATTTGCTGGATTTCTAAAAGCTTGGTGTTTCAATGAGTCTTTGAAATCTTTTTTTAAATATAATTGTATTGTTAATATTAAGATGTTGTATGGAGGGGTTACTGTTTCATAGGTCAAGGTAATGAGTACATTTCTTTTGGGACAATGTTAACCCTTCCTTTTCTTTCCTCCGGTTTCCCCTCCTATCCTGCCCACAAGTATTTCAATGTAGCAGAAACTGGGCTCAAACTCTAATCTTCCTGCCTCCCTCTCCCCAGTGCTGAGATTATAGGCATGAGCCACCATTGAAGCCTTAATGTGTTTTAATGATCAAGGTCTTATGCTCTTTTGTCTAAGTTCTATTTATTTGCATAGTATGGTCCTCAGAATGCCTACTCCTTGACTATAGCTGAGTTCTTTGTCATCTACTCTTCAGGAAACTGCCAGGCAGAATTATGTGGATTTAGTGTCCAGTTTGAGTTCTCCATCTGAATCCTCTAGCCACGTAGAGCCTGGGACTGACCAGAAGACCCCTGGATCTGAAGATGTGGTTGTGACCTCTGAAGATGGCATCACGAAGATCATGTTTAACCGTCCTGCCCAGAAAAATGCCATCACCACTCAGGTAATGACACTTCCTAGAAGCATTTCCTGTTCCTCTTTTCTTCTACTTATTTCACTCAAAATATTGTCATTTCTACATTAGTTATATTTTTTGTGTGGTTTTCTGGTTTGATTTGTACAAGATAAGAATGCATTCAGAACTGTGAAATCTTTGCTTAGCATTTGTTTGAAGTAGCGTCTACATATCCAGAAGTGACTTTCCTGTGAATGAAAGCACAAATCATTTAAATCAGTATAAGTGAAATACATGTAGCTATCATAGAATGCACAGAAAAGCCCTCTAAGGTTAGGCTTCATTATAATGTTTCCCTGAGTGTCTTCAAGTCACCTAAATTTGTCTTTTTGCTCTCATGGACCTTCATTTAATATAAGCAGAGGGAGAGGGGAGAGACTTCGCCTCTAATAGCCCAATCCAAACATGACCGAAGTAAATGGTTTACATGTATGAAAATATTTCAGTGAAACCTGCTGTTTTAGGAAAGAGGGAAGGGAGAGCAATAGAAGGGATGAGACTGATTGCACATAGGCGGGAAAACTTCACAATGATATCCCCTCCTGTACAAATGTATTCTAGCTGTGTGTGTGTGTGTGTGTGTGTGTGTGTGTGTGTGTGTGTGTGTGTGTGTGTGTGTGTTGGTACTGGGGGTTGAACTTGGCTTTTTCTATCACAGCTGGCTCTCTACCACTTGAGCCACACCTTTACTTCTGGCTTTTTGCTGGCTAATTGAAGAGTCTCACAGATTGTAACTTCTCTTTATAATAACTATAACCCATCTTTATAATAAAAAATGAAAAATTAAAAAATAATATAAAATGGAGTATAGCCCAGCTTTGCTTTGAAAGAGCAGTTTCCAAGGGTTTCACATCATGCCTTTGACCTAGAATGCTAACAAGATAACTATTTTAGCCCCTTCCCTTTGAAATAATTACAGGGAATTCATCAGATTCTTGGAGATGAACTGGGAGTAAAATTTGAGAGGTCTTTAATCATTATGGATTTTTTATTGATTTTTTTTGTTTTGTTTTTGTCAGTTGTAGGGCTTAAACTCAGGGTCTGGGCACTGTCCCAGAGTTCTTTTGCTCAAGGGGCTCTACCACTTTGAGCCACATCTCCACTTCTGGTTTTCTGGTGGTTAATTGGAGATAAGAGTCTCACAGCCCTTCCTGCCCAGGCAGCCTTTGAACTATCGTCCTCAAATTTCAGCTTCCAAAGTAGCTAGGATTGTAGGCATGTTTTGTATATTTCAGAGGGGTTACAGTTACATAAGTCAGGTAATGAGTACATTTCTTTTTGGACAGTGTTACCTCTTCCCTTGCTCTCTCTGTTTTTCCTTCCCATTTCCACTCACATTATATAGTTCATTTTTAGCATGGTGTCCAGTGAGAACCATTGCTACATTTATTAACCCCTCATCCCTCCATTTCTGGGTTTTCATTAGATTTTTAAGTTGCATCAGGTCCTGGGTATTAACTTGATATATGTATAAGTAAGAATTGCATGAAATTGGATATGTGCCATTTAGTTGATAAAGCACTGAATTCTGAATGTTTGATTTCTGTTTACCTTCCTCATGTCTCTGCAACCATGGCAGTGATAGCTCCTCATTACAAGTGTCTAATAAGTTTCTGTACTGTCTGCACAAGGGTTGCTCTAATTTCCACAAAGAGCTTGTTGCTTTCAGTTAATAATAAATAGACAGACATGTTAAGAAGTAATTTACCCAACTTATCCCTCTCCTAATCCTGGCTATGGTGAGTCACTTTACCATGATAGGTCATCAGTATTCTCATAATATAGAAACTACTTTCTCCTTCCTCCTTTAATTTTGCATTATGTAAAATCCCTCCCTTAATATTTCTGTGTCTTTAGATCCATGAATATCTGTCCTCTTCATCATTCTTTCTCACAGTGGAACAGTTTCTGAAGTACAGCAACACAAAATTTTCAGAAATGTTACTGATTTAAAACTTAAGAGACTACTGCCCAAGAATCTCATTCTAGCAGCTCAAAAATCCCAGCCTTTTGGCATTTGTTAACATGTCCTAGACTGCCTTTGACACGTGCTATTTCTTGAAGTGACAACTGAGATGCAGCTTCAAGAATGTTTCCTCTGGCCAGCTACCATCTCACCTGCTCTAGACAAACATCAGTACCTCAGATTACCTTCCTTTGCTTAAGTTTTACACACACACACTTGAGCACAGTATTCTTTCAGTTAAAAATATGCTAATTCCAGAAGCTCAACGAAGCTGTCTTTTTAATTCACTTTGTGAACAGCCCTTCTACCTCTACCTTAGCATGGTGACACAGCATGTACTGAGGAATCGCAGAGGAATGAAAATGATTTAGAGAGTAATCAACTACCTTTTTAGGTATTTAAATACAACCAATATGGAAGTGGTGCTGTGACTCAAGTGATAGGAATACTAGCCTTAAGCACAAGGAGGCTCAGGGACAGCACCCAGGCCCTGAGTTCAAACCCCAGGACTGACAGGAAAAAAATGTATAACAATAAAGCTGGGCAGTCATAGCTTACACACGTAATATTAGCTGTCCAGGAAGCAGAGATCCGAGGATTAAGGTTTGAAACCAGCCTGGGGAGGAAAGTCTTGAAACTCTTATCTCCAATTAACCAGCTAAATGCTGGACTGGAGCTGTGGCTCAAATGGTAGAGTTCCAATCATGAACAAAAATGCTGAGCAAAAGCACAGAGCCCTGATTTCAAGCCCAAATACTACAGGCATGTGCTCACAAAGTACAGGCCCACCACACACACACACACACACACACACACACACACACACAAAAATGCAACCAGTATACATGTTTGGGTTGTTCTGGGAGCAGGTTTACAGACTGTACAATGAATCAATTTCAGTTTCTTCTCATTATCTGTCTTCCCATTCACACAGATGTATCGAGAGATTATACTTGCACTTGAAGCTGCAAGCAAGGATAACTCAACCATCACTGTTATAACAGGTAAGACATTTTCTCAGACTTCTTACTTAAATGTCTTTCTTGTGCTCTCTTTTTTTAAAGCAGACAGAGCAAGTTTGAAAGCGAAAGAAAAGCAGCAATATTCTAAAAAGAGACGCTAGACTGAATGCTTACATTGAATGTATGCTAGATCTGGTATTTTTATTGTTTCCAGGAAATGGTGACTATTACAGCAGTGGAAATGATTTAACTAACTTCACCAAGATTCCTCCAGGAGGAATAGAGGAAGTAGCCAAAAGTGGTGCCGTTTTACTGAGGTAAGAATGACATTTGCCTGATCCCTGAGGGCTCATTCTTATGCATCAAAGCTGTATTCAGTTGAGCAAAAGTAAAATGCCTACTTCTCTGCATTGCTTTGACTCATTGAGACTTTGGACGAGCATGTCTCCATCCTGTCCATGAGTATACAGGCATTCATTTTATCTATTTGACATTTGCCACTGTGTGTCAAATTGACTAGAAGGCAAAAGGTTAACTAGAGTTGTAAGTAAGGGTCTCTCATCTTGAGGCAGAGAACTTTAGCAGGTTGTCATCTGGTCAGGTGAATGAATAGACTTCCATGAATGCTGGCTGTAGGAGACTTGAAGTCATGCAGAGCGCCACAGAAAGCAGTATGAAGGCATCACTCTTCCTGTCTGGTTGATTCCACCATCTCTGAGTCCCACTGGGCTACAGTATTGCTGCATTTTCTTAGGTGCCCACCTCAGTTTCTTATACCATAGCTAGCATACAGCCAGGCTCAGCCTGTAGGATTTGCTGCTACCACCAGGTGGCTTGAGTAGGGTTATCCTGCACAGATCTGGGGTAGAAGAGTAGATGCGGCCAGACAGGAAGGCAGTGCTGGTTAGTGTCTTCATTTCAGACTGTCTTGCCTGTACTTTGGGAATGTTGTTTTAGAATGTTAATGCTTTTCCATTATTTTCTTTTCTTTTTTTGTTTCTTTATTTTGTGGTCATGGGGCTTGAACTCTGGGTCTGGGCACTGTCCCTCATCTCTTCAGATCAAGGCAAGCATTCTACCACTTGAGCCACAGTGCTACTTCTGGCCCTTTCTGTTTATGTGGTGCTGAGGAATCAAACCCAGGGCCTCATGTATGGGAGGCAAGCACTCTACCACTGAGCCACCTTCCCAGCCCCATTAAATGCTTTTCTATTTTCATTGCTATAGGGAATTTGTAGACTGTTTTATAGATTTTCCTAAGCCTCTGATTGCAGTGGTGAATGGTCCAGCTGTGGGAATCCCCGTCACCCTTCTTGGGCTGTTTGATGCTGTATATGCATCGGATCGGGTAAGTCAGCTCCCAGAAACCTGGGAGGCCAGGCAGTAGTGAAATGAAATCCTTTGGATTCTCTTGGATTGCTGCTAGTACTAAGTATGTTTCATATAGCTTATGATAGAATATGCTATATCAAGATTTTTTTCCCCAAAGAATTCAACTAACTTGAAGGATTATGTTTTCCCCTCCATAATTTACTTGAGTTTTCTAAATACTAATTTTCTATAAATTTTGTCCCAACTACGATGGTTCAGTATTCTAATCAAATATACAATACTAATTCAATTTTCATGTTACTCAAATACACGGGAGAAACTTGAACGCTTCCCCTAATAAGAAAGCAAGAAGTAACATCTTTGCAGGTTATACTCAGATAGATAATTTGGGCCTCTTTATCTAAGTAAGTCCTGGAACACTGGGCATGAGCCCATGAGCATCAAACTATTATCAGTCTACCACTCTAAACCCGCTCCTTTGCAGATAAGAAAACTAAAGCTTATAAGTCATTTCTTATCCAGAATGCAGCTCAGCCTTGAGCTTACCATTTAAACACTTGAATTTTGTTCTTACTACAGTGTGTGTTTGTTATAGAAGAAAATAATGTTTTGAAAAATATGGAAAAGCACAAACAGAAAATTTAAGCTAAACATCTGTATTCAAACAGCTGTTCAAGAAGCTGAAATTTGAGGATTGTGGTTCATAGCTAGCTAGGGCAAATAAATCCTTGAGACTCATTTCCAGTTAACTAGCAAAAAGCCAGAACTGGAGGCCGAGCACACATGGTAGAGTGCCATCTGTGAGCAGAAAAAAATGAAAGTGCAAGTACCTGCAATCAACCAATCAGTCAACCTATGGTGCAGATGAAGGTCAAAGGACACAAAGGAACACATACATAAGAGGGAAAGTTCCATGAGCAACTGGAGTTAATAGCAGTTGATTACAGGCAGGATTTTTGCTGAATTAGTACATTTATAACTGCCTTGTAGAGGATTTTAACTATGTGGGATGGTGGATAAGCTAATTTTTTTCCACTAAAACATTCATTTTATTATATATGTATCTCATAATGCCATGTTATATATGTTAAAGTAAAATGTATACCTTGTATAAAGTCACTCATTATTTTACCATTCAGAGGTAACCAGTACTGGTATTTGGTTTATATAAGTCTGGTTTAAGTGGTTCCTGACTTCTGGAACCCTAGGCTGTTTCTCATTTTTGTCACTTTAAACAAACATGGGATGAACTTTGGCTGTAGAACATTTATTGTAGAACTAATCACAACTCTAAGACTGGAAGATTCTTTTAAGTCATTTTTGTTTGTGTGGAGGTAGAGGTCTTATCTACTATGAAAAACAGTTTCTTTCTACCACTGAAGAGAGTCCCAGGAGCTCTCATTGACATCATGAGCAAATACCATATATTAAATGATGGACTTGTATTTAAGCTATAGAGACAAAATACTAATTAGTACATGCTGTCCATTCTTTATTACAAGCAGTGGTTAACAACGTCTATTTACCCCTTGGCCAGCAAATGGCACCTTTTCTGTGGCTTTCAAATTTATAAAATAAGCCAGCATCAGTGGCTCACTGTTGTATTCCTAGCTACTCAGGAGGCTGAAATCTAAGGATTATGATTTGAAGCCAGACTGGACAGGAATGTCTGTGAGACTCTTATCTCCAATTAACCACCAAAATGCCAGAAGTAGACCGGTGGCTCAGGTGGTAGAATAGCTAGCCTTGTGCAAAAAAGCTCAGGGATGGTGCTCAGGCCTTAAGTTCAAGCCCAATAGTTGCACAAAAAACAAAATTATAAAATACTTTTTCAGTACTTACCATGTACTTGGTACTCCATTAACTAACCCACATTATACCCCTACCCATAGTTCCCTTCCCCCTACATATTTACATAATGCACACTATGAGGCAGGGACTCACAATTCTACAGATGAGTAAACTGGCACCTAGAGGAAAGAAAATTCTCCCAAGGTAATTCTCCAAACAGTAATAATGCCAGACTCTAAACCATTCATACATCCATGTTTTGATTTCTGAAAATAAGCATTGTAATGAAGCTCTGTGTCAGGTTTGACTGTACCTGTTTACGGTTCCTTAGATGTGGTTATGTTTTCCTTTGTTTTTCTATCAGTTTTCTGGTTGTATTCCTTTGGTTGTGTCTTCTCAGGTTACTGGTTTAAGTAAGATTTCTTTTGGAGAAACAAGAAAAATAATGCTAATGAGAACATTTCATTTTGCATTTTTATTCATATAATGCATACATTATGACTTTATATCTCTAACAAATGTGCATTAAAGATAACACTATGCTGATTATGTGAAATGAGATCTATATATCCTTTTATGTTGTATAAATAAATTAAGAGCACAGTAGACAAGCTCTGGTGGCTCATGGCTCTAATGCTACTCAGGAGGCTAAGATCTGAGGATTATGATTTGAAGCTAGCTCAGGCAGAAAAGTCTGTAAGATTCTGACTTTCAAGTAGCCACCCAAAAGCAGAGCTGTGACTGGAATAGTAGAGTGCCAGCTTGAGTGGAAAAGCTAAAGGGCCAGGCCCTGGGTTCAGGCTCCAGTAGGCAACAACAAAAAAGGGAAAAGGAAAAAAGAAAGAAACACACAAACCAAAAATAGATAACTGATATTTGAAATGATTCTGGTATATAAAGCCAATCAAAAGATCTCTAGAGGGGGCTGGGAAGGTGGCTCAGTGGTAGAGCGCTTGCCTTGAAAATAATTTCCATAACAAATGAGAGCAAAAAGACTTGCAACCTAAATGTATAAAGAACTCTTACAACTCAAAAATGAAATAACAAAGAATCTAACTTAAAAATAGTGGCAAGTATATTTCAACAGTTCTTCACCAAAGAAGTAGTATACATGGCTAATGAAAGGGCGTTCTATAAGTATAAAGTGTAAAATAAAACCACCAGACAGCTCTACACCCCTACTCATATGATTAAAGTTAAAAAAGATATAGAAGGAAGGGTCTAAGCGGCCCTGGTCAAGTGGTAGAGGGCCTGCCTTACAAGAAGGAGGCCTTAAATTCAATCCCTAGAACCACCAAAAAAATAAACAAATGTGCAACTAAAAAGACATAGTAGCTGGTAGCCAGTAGCTCATGCTTGTAATCATAGCTATTCAGGAGGATGAGATCTGAGGATCGAGATTCAAAGCCTGCCTGAGCAGAAAAATCCCTGTTAGACCCCTAGCTCCAATTAACTGTTCGGAAAACAGAAATGGGACTGTGGCTCAAAGTGGTAGAGTGTTAGTCTTGAGCAAAATTGCTTAGGGACAGTGCCCAGGACCTGAGTCAGATGTCAGATGGACCAGAGAGAGAGAGAGAGAGGATGATGGGAGGAAGGAAGGAAGGAAGGAAGGAAAGAGAGAGAAAGAAAGAAAGAAAGAGAAAAGAAGAAAGATATAGTAACCAAGTTTAGTTTGTTCCAAAGAGTTCAGAGCAAATGGAACTCTACAGTGCTAGATTGTTACAGTGGTATACCCACTTTGGGAGAGAATCCTATAATTTGAGTTACACTTTTCTCACAACCAGCAGTTCTGCTGCCAGGTTTATATCCAGGAGAACTGAAAACTTAAGTCACCCAGAATCCTGTACACAACCACCTTTTTATTAGAATTAGAAAAAAACCTTGATTTACAACTTCATTGACAAAACAGAAATTGTTCGAGGTGCATAAAAAAGATTATACATTTAAATCACTTTAATCATAATAACTAAACCACTGGACTTAACAGTGGTGGCATTAAATGGAAAATGGAGAAACAAATTATGATACATCCTTACAAGGATTATTATACAGCAATGAAAAGGAACAAACTATTAGTATGCAACAGCAGAACACTCAAAAACCTTTTGCCAAGTGACAGAGCCCGAAGTAAGATTTCAGAATTAAGGATTCTATTTATGTAAAATTATAGAAAAGCCAAAACTGTAGGGACCAATTGCAGATTGGTCCCTCGATTGCATGGGGATGATAGGAAGAATGGATTAGCTACAAGGAAGATATACTCTGGGGGCAATGGAGGTCTTCCCTGTACCAGAAATGGTATAGCTCTATTAACTCAATGTTTATAAAAATCTATTTACGCTGGGTGCCAGTGGCTCACACCTGTAATCTTAGCTACTCAGGAGGCTGAGATCTGAGGATCACTGTTAAAAGCCAGCCTGGGCAGGAAAGTCCATGAGACTCTTATCTCCGATAAAGCACTAGAAAACCGGAAGTGGCGCTGTGGCTCAAATGGTAGAGCACTAGCCTTGAGCTGAAGAGCTGAGGGATAGTGCCCAAGCCCTGAATTCAAGCCCCACAACCAACAACAACAAAAAAATCTTATTTACAACACACTTTTAAAGAAGTATATCTTGCCATATACCAGTGGTTCATGTCTATAATCTCAGGAGGCTAAGATTTGAGAATAGAGATCTGAAGCCAGCCTAGAAGGAAAGTCTGTGACTCTTATCTCTAATTAACCACAAAAAGCTGGAAGTAGAGCTGTGGCCAAATGGTAGAGTGCTAGTAGCCTTGAGCAAAAAAGCTCAAAGGACAGCACCTAGGGACAGCAGCTAGGCCCTGAGTTCAAGACTCCGGACTGGCACATTTGTGCATGTGCAAACACACACACATACACACACACACACACACACACACACACACACACACAGAACTGGGTGTGGTGGTATATGGCCTGTAATCCCAGCACTCAAGAGGCTGAGGCCAGATTGTGAATTGACAGTCCATCCTGGAATATATTTCCAGCCTGAAATGTGTTTCCAGACTACACTGTGAGATGCTCAGGGAGCCAAGATCTGAGGATTGCAGTTCAGAGCCAACCTAAGCAGACAGTCCAGATTTTTTACTTAATCAGCAAGGGGCCAGAAGTAGAGGCATGGATCAATTCATAGAGTGCCACACATGAGCAAGAAAGGCAGGTGATAATGCAAGGTCCTCAATTCAAGCCCCAATCTTGGCACAAAAAGAAGAGAGAAAGTGAAAGAAAAAGGAGAAAGGTAAACAAAGGAGGAGAAGAAAAAAGTAAGAAAGAGAAAAAACTGAGGGAAGGAAGGAAAAGAAAACCAAAATTGTGAAATTATAAACAAATCATGGCTTTTAAAATCCCATGAAAATTGATTTTCAGTTCTCTCCTTATCCCTGACAGGCAACATTTCATACTCCATTTAGCCACCTCGGCCAGACGGCAGAGGGATGCTCCTCTTACACTTTCCCGAAGATAATGGGCCCAGCCAAGGTAACTTTGAGAAGCTTAAAAACAAGATGTAATGTGTAATTTCTCTTCATAAAATAATCCTGTCTTCCCCCTCCCTTCCCTTCCTAAGATAAGAAAAAGCTATAGAAGCTAAATCACTTGCTGCAACTTGAGAAATTTTACATATGGAGAAATCAGGCTCTGAGAAGGATCTCTCTGTGGGGGACCCTCTTCTCTCTCTGCCAAGTGGCTGAGACAGTGCTGGGCCTTGTGGATAAGTAACATCCACTGAGAATGAGACCACATGACATCTTGCAGTCACATGACTATGTAGGCAGAGCTTACTAGCATGCCTCAGCCTGTCAGCCCAGTTTGCCAGCATATGAGACACTGGTTTCTCAGGTCCATCTCTGTGTTGGCCAGATCCTGTGGCATGATTCCCAAGAAAATGCTTAGCAAATATTCTTTAGCATCTCAAAGCAAGGGAGAGGAAAAGATACATGATGTGTGAATGAGTGTGTGTGTGTATGTGTACATGTGTGTGTGTACATGTGCATGTGCTAGTACTGGGGCTTGAACTCAGAACCTCACACTCTAGGTTTGGCTTTTTCTCTCAGAGGCCAGGCTCTACTACGTGAGCTGCACCTCCACTTCTGGCTGGTTAATTGGAGATAAGGGTCTTTTGGATTTATCTGCTTAGACTAGCTGTGAACCAGATCTTCAAATTTCAGCTTTCCAGATAGCTAGAATTCCATACCTCTTATTCAGTTTTTAAACTCTCATTATGCTATCATGTACCCTGAGTTGTTATTCAGGGTTGCATTTTAAAAAGTAGAGCAGAACCAACTCATAAGACTTAGAACATTTGCAATAGAGTTTATTGTTCTGGAAGAGACATTGCAAATGTAGAAAGAACTTCCATTTAGTGGCTTCAGACTAGAGATGCAATATAAGACAGCCTCATTTTCCTTCAGCCAAATAAAACTCAGCCAGATGCCTGTGGCTCGTCCCTGTAATCTAGCTACTCAGGAGGCTGAGATCTGAGAATCTTAGCCCAGGCAGAAAAGTTTGTGTGAGACTCTTACTTGCAATTAAGCACCAAAAGGCCAAGAGTGGAATTGTCCTTCAAGTGGTAGAGAGCCAGCCCTGAGCAAAAAGATAAGGGACAGTCCCTAGGCCATGACTTCAAGCCCCATTACAGGCACATAAATGAATATTATAAAATAAATTTAAATGTCTGTGCAGGTCAAGAAAATTCTCTGGGAAAAACAGCAAGCAGTAGAATTTTGTTACTCTAAAAGTTGACATGTATCATGATATTTCTCCCTTGTTTAAATGTTTTCTTTTGTAATCACTTCATAGGGCAAACAGAAAACCATAGGTTCTGTGGTTTCAGGTCATTTTTGTCTGGAGATTGCCATTCTGCAACATAGATCCTCCTGGATCTCCTTTTAAAGATAGAAGCCTGCAATGAAAGTAGCCTGTTTTGTAAACTGTGAGGTCATTAGCTTCTCCCTTACTGTGAAACACACACAACCCCATAGCCCACTCACAGATCTGTGTCTCCTGAAAACATTCAGCTCTCATATGAACTGAAGACTTGTTGTTTGATTAAGCTAGCATCTTAACCTTTCTTTCCATTTCAGGCAACTGAGATGCTTATTTTTGGGAAGAAGTTAACAGCAAGAGAGGCATGTGCCCAAGGCCTTGTAACTGAAGTTTTTCCTGAAAGCACTTTCCAGAAAGAAGTTTGGGCCAGACTTAAAGCATATGCAAAACTCCCCCCAAATGTTAGTATTCTATCCCTCCTCCTCCCCCACATAGGAACCATGGAACTAGTTCCCTAAGGGGAAAATGTGTTTGCCTTAAAAAAATGCTTTGTTTAAAATGACAAGAATATTTGGCTTCAAACACATGTCAATTTGGGATTGAAAATAATATAAAAGTATTAGAAGCATTGATTTTTTTAAAATAAAACTTATCAAATAGAGGAGTGGTTCTTTATGGGAATAACTTGAAGAGGAGGATAGACAGAATTTACTAAGCAACAATGCTTGATAAGAAATGTACTCATTACCTTGCCCATGTAATTGTAACCCCTCTGTATGGTATTTTCACAATAAAAAAAATGTCAGTGTGGCAAAAAAAAAGAATTTACTAAGAACTTTTAGATTACAGGGGAAGGACTGGAGGCATGGCTCAGCTAGCTTTTGAGTGAAAGCTTCAGACGCTGAGTTCAGTCCTAGTTGCAAGGAGGGAAAACCCCTAGAATACAAGAGAAAATCCAGAGATATTGACTACTCATTAGTAGCCTTACTGTGTAGCTCATTTGTTTTTATATGTGATTGTTAGAGGGATTGCTTGCTCTTTTATTCTTGTTTTTCATATGTGCTCTTGGAACTTGAAGTTTTAGTCTTGATCTTTTGGGCATTTTTAGAAGTGGATAGACCTGCCTGATAACTATTGAAGTGATTTGTATGTATATTTAAAGTTGGGCTTACACAAGTGCTTAAGACTTATCAGGATTAGTTCATGGACATTTGAATGACTAAAATCCATCAAAAATAATTCCACTTTAACAATATTGTGGGTTTTGTTTTATCAGGCCATGAAGATTTCCAAAGAGTTAATCAGATCTAATGAAAAAGAAAAGCTACATGCAATTAATGCTGAAGAATGCACTATCCTCCAGGGAAGATGGCTGTCTGATGAGTGCATGAATGCAATTGTGAATTTCCTATCCAGGAAAGCAAAACTCTGATGACCATTAGGTATGCTGGGAGTTCTGATTTCTAATACTTGATCTAAATCAACTTCCTTGTGCCTTTTTCCATTGCTAACATAATTATTATGATAGTAAAAATGTTACCATTAAACTGTTACCCTTACACCTCTGATGAAAAATAAAACCTTCAGTAAAGGAAGGTCTTTTGTTTCACATTTGTTTGTGTGTGTGTGTGTGCATGTGTTTGTTTGTGTTTGTGTTTTGGTAATAGTCTTACATCTAGGTGGCACTGGTGGCTCACATCAATAATTCTAGCTATCTGGGAAGCTGAGATCTAAGGATTGAACTTTGAAGCCAGTCCATACAGAAAAGTCTATCAGATTCTTCTCCCCAGTTAGCCAGCAAAAAGCTGGAAGTGGAGATGTGGCTCATGTGGCAGAGCATCAGCTTTGAGTGAAAAAGCTAAGGACAGCACCTAGTTTTAGATCTTTTGTCATGAATCGTTGCTGCCAGGAACAGTTGAACATTGTGCCTGGGATTCTGCTGTAGAAGGCAGACACTGCTCTGCAAGCTGAAGTTAAATCTTCATACACTAAGATAGCGCTTTGTCGTCCACAAGGAGTGACAGTCCGAATTGGGCCAAACATCGACAGCTTTCGGACCACGGACCTCAGATCCTCAATAGGTTGCATGTTCTTTTTCAACCATCTGGCAAAGGAGGAAATGGAAGAAGTAAACAATTAGAAATCAAATATGGATCTTAGGGTTTTTTTAATTTTCATTTACAGTAGTGGTTTAAGATACAAAATTTTAGTAAGGAAGTCAAGAAAACATGTCCAAGACTTTTTCTATACCGAAAACTATAAGATACTGTTTTAAAGAAATGAAAGAACTAAACATATGGACAGATACAGATTGGAAGACTCAATTGCTATTAGCATTCTACTCTATTGATGTACACTATTTGATCTACTCTATTGATCAGCTCAGTTGCAACCAAGCTAGTTGTAGGCTGTTGGGGCACAAAGACTCTGTAAGACTTATAAGACTTGTAAGACTCTGGGGATGGGGCCATAATTCAAATATATAATTCAAATACATTTGCCTCTTGGGTTTAATCACTAGTACTTTCTAAAAAAATACCATGAAATAATGCAAGGCAAACCACAGTCTACCACTTCCATAGCAAAGAATTTCCATTGAGAATGTATAGAGGATTCTTATAATTCAGTAACAATGCATAAATTAAGCAGTCATTTCATGACAGAAGCTACTCAGATGTCTAGTAGGAATATGAAATGGTTCTTACAGTTACGGGGATGTGCAATTTCCCTTCCATTTGAGTTGGCAGGAAGGGGAAGTCTTGGCAAGCATTCACCAAAGATCTACCTCTACATTCCATGATATGAGAGAAAACATGATTCATGTCATTCTGAGTCTGGCTTATTTTACTTCACGTGATCTTTAGTTCTGTCCACTTTCCTGTGAACACCCTGATTTTGTTTTTTATGACTGAATAGAATTCCAATGTACATAAACCACATTTTTTCTTTCCATTCATCTGTTGTGGGCATCTAGGTTAATTTCCTTGTTTGGCTAATTGTGAATGGTGCTTCAATGCACATGGTGTGCAGGTGGTGGCTACAGTGACTCTTGTTACTGCCTCTCTTGACTGTATCAAAAGATATATTGAGCCAGGTGCCGGTGGCTCATGCCTGTAATCCTAGTTACTCAGGAGGCTGAAAGCTGAGGATTGCAGTTCAAAGCCAGCCCAGGCAGGAAAGTCTATGAGACTCTTATCTCCAATAAACCACTAGAAAACTGGAAGTGGTGCTGTGGCTCAAGCGATAGAGTGCTTGTCTTGAGCTGAAGAGTACAGCTCCCAGGCCCAGAGTTCAAGCTCCACGACTGACAAAAAAAAAAGATACATTGAAAGTAACTGATGTTCAGAGTCACAATGATGAGGTTACCTGTGACCTGCTTGTTTTGCAAAATGCATACCTGTGGTTAAGCAACGTAGGACCACAAATGTAAACAATGCTCCAACACATGGCAAGAAAAATTTAAGGAACTGGCTCTTGCAATTATTGGCACAGATGAGTTGGATGTTTGTAATACCAGTAAGCAGACTAGAAATCTCAGCAGGATTGGTCCAAAGGCAGACTGGAGGATAAATTCCTTATTCTTTCAGGAGCCTCAGTCTTTTTCTGTTGAGGCCTTCCAGAGATGGAATGTGACCCACCAAATTATAGAAGACCATCTTCTTCACCTAAACACTACTGATTAATATGAAAATCTCGTCTAAAACATTCCTTTACAGCAGCATCCAGTGTGTGAACAAATCAGGTACCCAGCCAATTTGGTGTATAAAGTTAACTTTCATGTAAGCTGAGTGCAGGAGAGTTCATCTATCATCCCAGTTACTTCAGAGACTGAGTTAGGAGGGTTATTTGAAACCAGGAGTTACATAACCCAGCCTGTTTACATAGCCAAACATATTTTTTAGTGTATGAATTACATATGGAACAACAAAAGACCTAGAACAGCCAAAGCAATTCTAGGCAAAAACAATAATAATACTGTGGGTGGTATCATAATAGCAGAACTCAAACTCTATTACAGAGCCATAATAACAAAAACAGCTTGATAGTAGCACAAAAAATAGAATCAAAGATCAATGGAATAGATTTTAGAAGACGCAGAAATAAAACCATATCTTTCGGTTATCTGCTATTTGATAAGGGAGCTAAAGACATACAATGGGGGCAGGTAAGATAGTTTCTTCAACAATTGGTGTTGGGAAAACTGAGCAGCCATATGCAAAGAACTAAAAGTGGATTGCTGTTTGTCACCATGCACTAATATCAGTTCAATGTGAATCAAAGACCTCAACATCAGACCTGAAACTTTAAAACTACTGCAAGAGAGAGTAGGATAAACATTAGAACATACAGGTATAGGTAGAAACTTCTTGAATAGAGTCCCAGAGGCACAACAGATAGGAGAGAAATTTGACAAGTGGGACTATATTAAAATAAAAAGTTTCTGCACAGCCAAGAACATAGTTACTAAACTAAAAACACAGCCAACTAATTGGGAAACAATCTTTACCAGCAATACATCAAAGGCCTAATGTCCAATATATACAAGGAGCTCAAGAAACTAACCCCTCCCAAGCCTAATAAACCAATCACTAAATGGGCAAGGGAGCTAAGGAGAGGCTTCTCCCAAGAAGAGGTAATAACGACAAAGAAAAACACAGCCATAAAGAAATACAAATCAAAACAACTCTGAGATTTCATCTCACCCCAGTAAGATTGGCCAGCATTGTGAATTCGAACAACAAATGTTGGCGGGGATGTGGGGAAAAAGGAACCCTGCACTGTTGTAAACTAGTACAACCACTCTGGACAGCAGTCTGGAGGTTCCTCAAAAAATTAAACATAGGGGCTGGGAATGTGGCTTCGTGGTAGAGTGCTTAAGCACGCATGAAGCTTTGGGTTCAATTCCTCAGCACCACATAAACAGAAAAAGTCAGAAGTGGTGCTGTTGCTCAAGTGGTAGAGTGCTAGCCTTGACCAAAAGCAGTTCAGGGATAGTGCCCAGGCCCTGAATTCAAGTCCCAGAACTGGCAAAGAGAGAAGAGAGAGGGGGGAGGAAGGAGGAGAGGGGAAGAGAGAGAAACATAGTCCTTCCCTATGACCCAGCCACACCACTCATAGGAATCTACCCTGAACACATGAACAGGATATGATAAGGACACCTGCATATCCATATTCATTGCCACACTATTCACAGCCCAGATGCCCTACAATAGATTAGTAGATCAAAAAAAAATGTGGTACCTATACACAATTGAATTTTACATAGCAGAAAGAATACAATAATGTCATTTGCAGGAAATGGATGGAACTAGAACAAATCATGTTAAGTGAGATAAGCCAAGCTCAGAGTAACAAATGGCTCATGTTCTCTCTGATATGCAAAGTTAGATCTAAAATGTACCAGGATATGACAAATTATATAGGATTCTAGATACTCACACACAGTGATACTAGAAGAGGATATTCTTAGGAGAGAAACACAAAGGTACAATGCCTAAATTTTTTTGCCTATTCATATTTATATAAAATAATATAAATACTGTAATGAACTCCAAGATATGGAAACAAAAGTTTGTTGTTGTTGTTTTTTTACTTTTTGATGATTCTGTCTTCTTTACCTTACATAGGGTGTATATTCACATGTATATCTTTGGGAGGATGGGGGGAAGGCACAGAACTTGAGGGATAAAGGGCAGAAAAAGTGCAGCAGTGGAGCTCACTAGACACTGATGAAAGTGAACTATCCAAGTCGGATGGAGATGGGAAGGAAGGACTAACAGAGAATGAGGGAACAGAGGACACTGAGTGAAAGGACATATACTCATTACCTGACTCGTGTAATTGTAATCCCTCTGTACATCACCTCTATAATAACATTAAATTTATTTTAAAATAAAAATATTAAAATATTTTTCACATTTTAAAATGAATGAATGAATAAGTAACCAGCATGTCAAATGTTTACCAATGAGTTTTACTCCTGCCTACATATGAGCTCAGGGACTTTGATGCAATGTCAGCATTGGTGAGTCAGCAGACAAGGACTTGGACATGTTCAGGCATGGCTCTAGTGCTTGCTGTCCTGAAGGGAGATAGCTGCAACTCCTCGGTGCCATCTCCTTATCATCCCACAAGGATGAGTTGGCTTCACTTAGAGCTCATACAGCTCTGAAGGCCTGTGGGTCTTACCTCAGTTGGAGGCAGAGGTAACAAATGGGAGGAGAAAAAGACACAGAAGTCTTTTGATTGAACTCAGGTCCTCACACTCTGGCTTAGCTTTTTGGCTCAAGGCTGGTGCTCTGCCACTTAAGGTATACCTCTATTTCCATCTTTTTGCTGGTTAGAGATAAGAGTCTTTTGGATTTATATACCTCGGCTGGCTTTGCACTGTGCTCCTCAGATCTCATCCTCCTGAATGGTGGGATTACAGACATGAGACGCCAGCTACTGGACTATTCTTCCATCTTTCCTTCCTTCTTTCCTCCTTTCTTCCTCCCTCCCTTCTTTCCTTCCTTTTTGCCAGTACTTGGGCTTGAACTAAGGTCCTTGCACTTGCTCTATTTGCACTTTACCACTTGAACCATTCCCCCAGTCCAGATTTTTACTAGTTAATTAGTGATAAAGTCTGGAAGAGTTTTTTTTTTTTGCCAGTTCTGAGGCTTGAACCCTGGTCCTGAGCACTGTACTTAAATTCCTTTTTGCTGAAGGCTAGCACTCTTCCACTTGAGCCACAGGGCCACTTCCAGCTTTTTCTGTGATTTAATTGGAGTCTCAAAGACTCCCACCCAGGCTGGCTTTAAAATGCAATCCTCAGATCTCAGCCTCTTGAGTAGCTAGGATGACAAGAGTGAGCCACCAATGCCTTGCTTAAAACTTGATTTCTTTTATTAAAAAAAAAAGTGACATCCTAGCTATGCTCATGCCTGTCATCCTAGCTGCTCAGGAGGCTGAGGTGTAAGGATCACTGTTTGAAGCCAGCTGGGCAGATAAATCCAAAGGACTCAACTCCAATTAATCTGCAAAAGCTGGAAGTGAAAAAGTGACTCAAGATGGAATGCCATCCTTAAGCAAAAAAAGCCAAGCAAGAGCCCAAAAGAAGGAAGGAGAGAGGAACAGAGCAAGAGGGAGGGAGGGAGGAAGGGAGAGAGAGAGGGAAGGAGGGAGAGATTCTCTATTTCTGAATGTGTCTCTGTAAGACAAAAATTAGACAACCTACCTGACAATTATGGTGCACATTGGAGGCTCCTTTATGTTTTTCTTCCACAAATTGCATCTCTTCCACCCTTCAACATTGCTGATTCTCCTCTTCTTCCACAAGGGCATCTTGCTTGGCTTTGGGGACAGACAAATCTCTTCTGGCAATTGTTGTCTTGCTAAGATCTTTTCTAAGCCAGATAATTCTGATTCATCATCTGATAACAGGACAAACAAAAATGTATCATTCCTTTCCGTTTTTGCAAAGCAAGAGTTCTTTGGCATCGACATGCTTTTGTATACAGGGGTGGGAGCACATAAGCTGGGGGCAGAAGCCAAGGACTTGAGCATGCTAGGCAAGAGTTCTGCTAAGACATACTACAGCCCTATTTTTATCTGTTTTTCTGCCTTTCTTTTTTTTTGTTGTTGTTGTTGTCAATACCAGCCTTGAACTCAGGGCCTTGCACTCTTACTTGGCTTTTTTTACTCAAAGCTGGAACTCTTGGTCCACTTAAGGCATTTTGCTGGTTAATTGGAGATAACAGTTCCTCCTCAGATTTATCTACATGGGCAGATAAAGCTTTACCCTAGCCAGAATTCCAAAGCACAGGCTCAGGACTTAAAGGAATCATTTCTTCCCTGTAGTGCAATACATCTTGACTGTATCTGCCCTCTTTAAATTGGTTTGAACCAAAGCAAAGTCTTACTGAACCCAAATACCTCTGAAACAAGACACATGGAAGTTTCTGTGGCAGAAACTACCAGCTGCTAAAAGTATATCATTGTCAGTCAGCATTTGTATTATGCTAAAGGAACAAAATCAAAAGCAACATATAACTGGAATATCACTATAAAAGCAAAAACCAGGCGTGCACGCATTGGCTCCTGGGCTGTGGCCTGCTGGGCAGCTCTCTGTGGGGCAGCTCCCGGCATGGTAGTCTGGTGCCTCCCTGCTGCCCGCCTCACAGTGGCTGCCGCTGCTCTACAATGACCATCACCATCCCCTGCCCTGCAGCAGCCACCGCCTCAGTTCTGTGGTGCTCTTGGTGACACATTTATGGAGTTTCTGAGGGGCAGTGGAGATTACTGTCAGACACAGCACGACCTCTGTGCAGACAAGTGAACTGGAGAAATCCATTACTACTCTACCAAGAAGCCCCGTAAGAGTGGTTAACCTGGACACAGAAGTGTTGGATTGCAATCTGCAGAGCATTTTCTAAGAGTTCTGACCTGGATGGGGTAAACCTCAATGCACTTGCTTTCTATTGCCTCAGTATGACTGGATTGAAGAGTTGCTACTTCCCATTAGGAGGTTCATTTCGTTTATGATTACTCCCAATTTCAAAGAGCACTGAGAATTTTAAGTGGAGTATATTGAAGTAGACTTCAGCATCTTTGCATCATTCCTGTATTCGATTTTTTAAAGTCTTTCATAACCCTATTGAGTGCTTTAAGTAAGTTAACATAGCTGGAATGAATCACCCTGCTCCTGTGGAAGTCACGTACATGAACATGAGATTCCTTATTACACACAATCCAACCAATGCAGCCTTAAACAAGTTTATTGAGGAACTTAAGAAGTATGGCGTTACCACAATTGTAAAAGTATGTGAAGCAATATACGACACTACTGTGGTGGAGAAGGAAGGCATCCACATTCTCGATTGGCCTTTTGATGATGGTGCGCCACTCTCTAACCAGATTGTTGATGACTGGTTAAGTCTTGTAAAAATAAAGTTTCATGAAGAAACTGGTTGCTGTATTACTGTGCGTTGTGTTGCAGGCCTTGGAAGAGCTCCAGTGCTTGTTGCCCTGGCACTAATCGAAGGTGGAATGAAATAGGAAGATGCAGTACAGTTCATAAGACAAAAGCAGCATGGAGCCTTTAACAGCAAGCAGCTTCTGTATTTGGAAAAGTACCACCTAAAATGTGGCTATGCTTTAAAGATGCTAAGGGTCACAGAAACAACTGTTGCATTCAATAAAACTGAGTGCCTGGTGCCATTACCTCAGAAGTGGATTTTGAGGTGGAACCTAATTTGTCATAACAATATTGGTTTGGTGAATGAGTCTAGTGAAACTTCCATAGGAATATTGAAAAGCAGTTTCTCAGGCTGCAAGCTTGACACAATTGCTGTTTGGGTTTTGATTGACCTATTTGGACACTTTGCAAAACACACTCACATAAATACACACAAAATTCTTGTTGTTCGGCATTTAAAATGTGCTTATCACTAAATTGACCTTTCCTAAAATCATTGAGTTACATTTTTAAATATATTCCCATGCAAGAATCTTTATCAATATATAAGAAATTTAGAAAGATTAGGTGCAAAAATATCCACCACAATATTTGTGTATACCATTCAGGACCGAAATTCCAGAAGCTCTAGACCTATATGGTTTATTCCTTCAGTCATTTCAAACATTGTAGGGCCTCTGGCTATTTGCCTGTTCATTTTATGTTTACATATTCCATATTCATACATCAGGTTTGTGTAACCATTGATATTTTTTTTTACCAAGTCTTAAGGTGATTATTTAAGGTCTTTCTATATGTCTTTATGCTGTTATAGAAAACCTCCATTTTGAAAGTCTTCATTGTTACAGAAGCACATGTCTTTACTAATGTCTCCAGACAGAAAACCCTTACAGTTAATTTAATGTTGGCACTCTGAGGTGCAGCCTCACAGCGAGGGCCTGAAAGAATGGGAGGGAACTATTGATTATTTTTAGTAAAATATTGCCTTTGTCTTATGCAGAACATGTAGAATATGCTGTTTAATAACTACTTTTTAAGTATACATGCTTTGTTTTAGCAAACATTCTTAATCATAAAATTTCTGATATTGTATTTTTTCCATTCTTACACATTGTTTACCACCTTATTTTTGTTTGAATTGTGATGTTTCCCCCTTTATCTTCCCAGCCTCTCTTGCAAAAAAAGGGGGGGAGGCAGTTTCTGCTATTGAAATTGAGCAGATATCTAATATTTTATAAGCCTTTTGAGTTGTGTAACTTAATATTTGGATACTTGATGATTTGTCCTATTATGTAATTGATAAAATGGTGATGTGTATTAATGTTAGTTCAACCATATATTTATACTATCTGGGAACATGTGGTTATAGTTCTGTGGGAGAAACAATTTGTCAGTGTTCACCAGCTTGTAAAAACTTAGTGTGAGACCTTAAACACCTAATTAAATAATTAAATGAAAAAAAAAGCAAAAGCCACTTCTCTAACTTCACATAAACATATTTCACTTTAAAGTTAACTTTAAAGTTGTGTTTTCGTGGCAAAACTGACATGAAAAGATTTTCATTGGTATAAGTAAAATTAAACAATTCTGAGAAATGTATATATAAAATGAAAGTATTTTCTCCTGAATTCTTTTTTTTTTTGGGGGGGGGTCCAGTCATGGGGCCTGAACTCTGGGCCTGGGCGCTGTCCCTCAGATCTTCAGCTCAAGGCTAGCACTCTACCACTTGAGCCACGGCACCACTTCCAGCTTTTTTTTCTTTTTGCTTATGTGGTGCTGAGGAATGGAACCCAGGGCCTCATGCATGCAAGGCAAGCGCTCTACCACTGAGCCACCTTCCCAGCCTGAATTCTTTTTATTCTCCTGAGTTTTCTTTGAATTCACATACAAATTTATATGTGTGTCATTGGACATAAATGGAATCCTGCTGTGTTTTTTTTTCTTTTGTGGCTTATTTATTAAAACTTTATACTAGTAGTCTTGTAGATATTTGAATGTCAACCTTCATTATGGTTTGGATCTTGAATATTCTTCAGAGGCCCATGTGCTTAAAGGTTTGGATGCTATTGTGTAGCATTTTGAGAGATGGGGCCTTTAGGAAGTAGTGCCTACCCAGAAACACAACAAATCAAATAAATGGGATTGCATTAAACTGCAGAATTTCTAGCAAAATAACTAGAAAGGAAATAAGGAAGAAACATGAAGAAATGCTCAACATCCCTGGCTATAAGAGTAATGCAAATAAAAGCAACATTGAGATTCCACCTTATCTCAGTTAGAATGGCCATTATCAAGAAATCTAATATCAGATGCTGGTGGGGATGCGGCCAAAAGGGAATGCTACTACACTATTGGTGGGAGTGTAAACTTGTTCAACCACTCTGGAAAGTAGTATGGAGATCCCTCAAAACACTAAACATAGAGCTCCCCTATGACCCAGCAATCCCACTCCTGGGCATTTACCCAAACGACCACAAACAAGGCCATACTAAAGCTACCAGCACAACCATGTTCATTGCAGCATTATTTACCATAGCTAAGATAGGGAATCAACCCACATTCCCCTCAGTAGATGAATGGATCAAGAAAATGTGGCACACACACACACACACACACACACACACACACACAATGGAGTTCTATGCTTCCATCAAAAAGAATGGCATTGCCCCATTTCTAAAGATATGGAAAAATCTTGAAAAAAATTACATTAAGCAAAGAAAGCCAGGCCCAAAGAAATGTAGGTTGCATGGTTTCCCTCATTTATAATAACTAGAATATGTCTATGGTATTCTTAGCAAGGGATCGCATTAGCCCAATTGCTAAGTGCATAGGACCGTTTATAATAAAGCATATCAAAATGAACTCCAAGGGGGCTGGGAAGGTGGCTCAGTGGTAGAGTGCTTGCCTTGCATGTATGAGACCCCCCACCCCAAAAAAAGAACTCCAAGAACTGAAGACAAGAGGTCCATTTTTTTGTTGTTTTTTGTCGGTTGTGGAGTCTGACCTCTGGGTCTGGGCACTGTCCCTCAGCTCTTCAACTCAAGGCTGGTGCTCTATCACTTGAGCCACAGCGCCACTTCTGGCTTTTTCTGCTTATGCGGTGCTGAGGAATCTAACCCAGGGCCTTATGCATGTAAGGCAAGCACTCTACCACTGAGCCACCTTCTCAGCCCAATAAGAGGTTCTTATTATGTCCTATATGCAGTTATTTCTATTTGTTTTCTGTTTTAGTTTTCTGTACCCGTTGTCTTATAAGTAAGGTTTTCTGATTTGTAGAAAGGAAAGGGAATCACAGAAATAGCAGGACAAAGAGTGAACTAATGCAACAATGATACCAACAAGACACTATACTGGAAATGAACTTTATAACTCTGAGGAGGGAGAGGAGTGAAGGAGGTGGGAGAGGAAAGGGATAGTGGGAGAACAACAAAGGAGAGGTAACAATGCTCTACA